GCAGTCCCGCTCGCTCTGCCGCCCGCGCTCCAGTCGTGGTCCGCGACCCGGGGCGGCCCTTTACGGTCCCCCGGCCACGGCCGGCCTCCGCCCCGCCTCCCGGGGCTCGGCAGCCCGGCCCCACCGAGGAAGCGGAAGTCGGCGCCCGCCGCACCCGGCCTCTGGCCCTGGCGGCAGCCGTGTGAACCGCAGGAGGGCCCACTTGGGGGGCTTTCTGCCCTCTGGGGCCCTGCGTAAAGATCAACGGAAACCCTGGAACGGTGGTGATGCAAAGTAAATTCCGTCATCGCCAGCTTAAAAAAAAATAACCTAAAGAAATTATGGCAACCGATGGCTGCTGGGAGGGGCAGAGGCAGACGCTTTCAAGCGCGGGACCCTTAGCTTAACCAGGCTCCAGTGGTTGGATCCACACGGAAGGACATTTGGGGGCACAGACTCTACAGGATATAGATAGATAGATCCCATATGGTGGCTGCTACTCCAGATGGTGGCTTGGCACCCTTGATGAGCCCTGGTCCCAAAACTAGCCTTGTCTTGTCCTCATTGAGATAGAGAGACAGAGAACATTAAGTTGGGGGGCAATAAGGGGAGGTGGAGATAAGGGAGGGTATCTAAATACCATCAAATTGTGTTTGAAAATGACAAAAATTCAATTAAAATTGTGTTCATTTGTTTAGAGATCAGGTCTCATAGCCCAGGCTGTTCCCAGACTCACTATGTGGCAGAGGATGGCCTTGAGGTCCTAATTTAATCCTCATAGCTGGGCCTTCCAGGTGCAGGGATTACAGGTGTGTATCCACTCGCCTGGTTTTATGGGGTCCTTGGGATCAAACCCAGGGCTTGCTTTGTGCATGCTAGGCAGATACTCTACAACTGAGCTACATCCCCAGCTTCCAAGTCTTTTGCTTGTTCGTTTGCAGCTCCGAGGCAGCCTCTTTTATTTTCGTAGTTCCCAGTGAACTATTTATCTATTCCCTGGCATTTTATTAAGAAGCCGAGAATGGGGCTGGAATGATGGAATGACGGAGCAGTTAAGAGTTCTTGCTACTTAGCTTTATTGACTTGACATAGCCTGACGTCATCTGAAAGGAGAAATGGCAATTGAGGAATTTGTACATCAGGTCTGTGGTTCGTGGACATGCCTATGAGGAACTGCTATGATTGTTAATTGATGTTCAAGGGCTGAGCCCACTGAGGGCAGCACCGTTCTTCAGGAAGGTGGTCCTGGGTTGTATAAAAACGCCAAGCAGAGCGAGCCAGTAAGGAGCATTCCTCCAGCTTCCTGCCTCCAAGTGCCTGCCTTGACTTCCCCAAGCCTGGAAGTGTACGCTAAATAAACCCTTTCCTCCCAACTTGCTTTTTGGGCTGAGCAGCAGTAGATTCCAGCAGTAGACTGAAATCAGAGCACTGTTCTTCCAGAGTTTGGTGTCGGGCATCCATATCCAATGGTTCACAACCACCTGTGACTCCACTTCCAGTGGATCCAGCTCCCTCTTCTGGCATCCAAAGACACCAACACACACACACACACACACACACACACACACACACCTGTGTGTACATAAAAAATAAAAAATCTTAAAAGATAGAATAAAATAATAAGAAACTGAAAAGACTCAAGGAAGCTGCTGTGTTCCAGGAGTGACATGGTTTTCTTTGGGTCTAGCACCTAGTTAAGTGGAAGGGTCTTGGGCTTCAGCTAGGCATTCCATGTGACACTTGCTCAGCTACCACCTTCCCATCTGCTTCAGCCTCCCTATAGTTTTTTTTTTTTTAATGTGTATGAATGTATTGCCTAGATATGTGTAAGTGTACCTGTGTCATGCAGTGCCCACAGAGGACAGAGAGGGTGTCAGCTCCCCCGGAACTAGAGTTACAGAGGATTGTTAGCTACAATGTGGGTGCTGGGAATCGAACCTGGGTCCTCTGCAAGAACAGCCAGTGCTCTTAACCACTGAGCCATCGCTTCAGCCTCTAGCCTCCCTGTAGTTACTTCTATTTCTACAGTTTTTTTCCCCATTTTTGAGACAGCATCTTTCTTGCTCATGCTAACCTCCAACTCCTGATCCTCTTGCCTCAGCCTCCCTAGTCAGCCAGATGTGGTGGAGCAGCCTATCATCCCATCATTCAGGGGACTGAAGCAGTAGGATGGACAGCTGGGCCATATAGTAAGACTATCTCAGAAAAATGAAACATTTATCTTCATTATTGAGTATGGTGTTGGATTATAGCCAATAAAATGGGGATGTGAGTCATTGACTTAATATTTGGCATGATGTGTTTTAGTGTGTAACATGAGTGTACAAGTGATAGCCCTTCCTGGCCTTAGTGTATGCTATGACAGTGTCAGAGAGCTCAGTAAGTGGGGTATTGGTCAGCCCTCTAGAACTTGAGTTTAGGGAGCACATTTCAACTACAGAAACATGCCAGGGAGCTTGAGTGAGTTGCTCAAAGTGACATGTAA